TTTTATTTAGCAATCAATCACACTACAAAAGCCCTGAAGACTCCGGATAGTCCGTTTTATTTAGCAATCAATCACACTACAAAAGCCCTGAAGACTCCGGATAGTCATTTTATTTAGCAATCAATCACACTACAAAAGCCGTAAACACAAAACCTTGGTTCAAGTCAGATCCCATGGGAGTTCACAAACTCAAGTCACTTATGAAAACATTGGTAGAAAAAGCTGGATTAGATGCTAAAAATCTCACCAATCATAGCGGAAGGTAAAGGATGATCCAGAAACTGAATGATGAAGGAGTACTGCCAATGCACATCATGCAAATATCTGGGCACAAGAACTGAAAGTCTGAACAACTACAGCACTCTCTCAGAATGACAACAAAAAAGCATTTCCAACATTCTGAGTGGATATCCTGGAGTGCCAGGGCCATTGGGATACCAAGTGGGTATTTCTAGTGCTTTGAGTCTAAATGCAACTAAAACAGTACAGGAGTCGACAACACAGCAGCCCTTGACTCTTTTCCAAGGTGCTTCAATTCAGGGAGGAACTTTTAACATTTCTGTAAATGCCTTGAACAAAAGTCCCACTTTGACCTTGCATTCTCCAAGGTCCAAAAAAAAACGCCATTCTTTATCATTTTAGAAGACATTGCCAATAAGTTTAGAAGAAGCTTTGCGTGTTTGGGGTTGTAGTAGACCTCAAGGAAAATTGATCCCGGCAACCAAGTTGTGTTTCGGGCTAGTAAATTTTAGAAATCACTAGCCCGGTGGCTAGTAGTGCAGGTAGCCAGGTGTCGAACCCTGCTTTATTCCCTTGATGTACATGTACTGCCATGTTTTCCATTGCCATTAAATTTACATTGTTAGCGAGTTTTTGTTTCTAATTTGTGTTCAGAAAATTATTTCAATGAAAATTCTCGTGTTATGTGTAATAAACAGCTCATGACATAGAAAGTGCTTTGTACGGGGTTTTATTCACGAGTTGTTTGTGTCAAAAGCTCTCACTTGCTCATACCTCGCTTGTTCGGGTTTTTGACACAAACAACTCGTGAATAAAAACCATGTACACGGCACTTTCTATGACGTAAACTATATTTATTTTGTGTTTCAGTCTAAGTTTTGTGTTTCAGTCTTTAATTTATGAGGATATCTGACAACTCAAAAATATAAAGAACCATTAATGAAATGCATTACTGAAGTGCATATGTTTGCCACCCTATTTATCATATAGCAGATAGAAAATAGGTGAAGGTCATGCATACATGTGAATAACTGCACATAGAAATGCTTAAGAATTAAAAATACAGAATTATGAATAAACATGTAATAAATTACCTTTGGCAATGACTCAGTGTTAACAAGTCTTTGCAAAAGCTTAATTACACTCCTGGCAACAGTGTTGATAGCAAATGGATCACAGAGGATCATTGCAATATCTCTGTAAGAAAAAAATATTACTTTTAATTAGAATTAAAATACTGGAAGACCTGAAGGCTACTTCCATTGTAGTCCTCACTTGGAAAAAAAGGAATACAACACAAGCTTAGCAATTGGGGTCTGCCACAGCTTCACCAAATTTCCTAGCAAATATTGCTTCTCCACCCTTTAAATTGCTTTTCCTTTCCATATCACAGGTAATGTTGTTTGACAAGAGATTATTATCAATCTACCTATCAGAAGCCAGAGCTTAAAATAATGGCTGGTTAATGGACAATGTAGGTTTAGTCGGGTCAACTCCTTGGACTGCCACACATTTTGTCCAATTGTTTATGCATATATAGAAGAATTTAATTCCCAACTAAGGAAAACTTTTAAATACAGCTGTATCATTTTTTTCTGCATTAAGTTCAAGGCTGCATGTACAATGTTAGCATGGTAAATATGCTTGTTTTGTAAGGGATGGGGAATTTATCCAGAAATGATGCAATGGATATTTGCATGGACAAAACTGGGTTGTGTCTGAACAAAAGTAGTTTGACTGGACAACTTTACAAGAGCCAACTGGGAAATTAGGATACATTTCAAACCTGTAAATTTAAGTACTGGACAGTTTCCATAGGTAGAATAATCAACCTTAACACTCCCAAAATCTATATAGCAACTTTTCCTTTCAGGTGCAACACATTTCCACAAACTAAGACTATCATAACACCCTCTGATTGATCAGTTTGTCACTCCTTGCTACCAGCTTACTAAAAAGTATACTTCATGTCAATGGGAAGCTATGTGTTGTCCACTTCTGAGAGTTCAAAGCTTGAGTGGAGAAGTAATTGAAACAGTTGTCAAACCTTTCAAACCCTAAGAGTGACCGGCATCTAATTTTTCCCAACAAAATTAGTGCTGAATCATTCCAAAGATCTTGAGAATATAGAAAATGATTACCAACCTAAGATGCCTTGATTCTTAAATACTCCTAGTCAGTAACAAAGGAAATGTGTAGAGAAGAGTATTGAGAATGTAGGTTTTGATGTTAGGGTATTAAGAGTAAAGAAATGTTCTACTTTTATATTTTGATTTTAATATAAACAGCTCCTTACCCAAGAACCTGTTCTTCACTATGCTTTGCATGATCCAAGAATCCTTGCAATTCCTTTGTCCTTTTTCCTTCTATCACTTTTTCTCGAATACAGGCATCAAGACACCATGTAAATTTATGGCATGGATCAATGTCCTTAATGTCTTTAATTTCAAGATCATGCACTGCCATCAGTAACTCTGACCTAAGAGTGCAGTAATGAACTTCTTTGGTTCTTAAAAATAATGTTCTCAAAAATTGTAGCACTAGGTTGTACAGTTCAAGAGATTTTCCAATCATCTTAGCCAAGTTTTGTACAACTGGATTTTGTCGCCTTGTTTTGGATGGAACTGAAAAGAATGTGTGAGAATTCAAAGGTTCTGTGGAGAAAAGAACATTGTACTTTTCCTCTACATATTGGTTCAAAAGGGGACCAACTGCATCCCCAAACAATGCATGATGCTTGATCCAGATCTGCCTTTTCACCTCAATTGCACAATCTTGGTACAGCTTAGTGTCATTTGCCAGTTGCTCAAGGCATTCATCAGGGACTTTTGGAAGATATTTCATGACTTCCATCACGACTGGCCGGAGATGAGCCACGTGGATGAACGGAAAGCACTGATCAAGCAAACTCTTCAGTTTGTCCACTTCCAAAAGCTTCACTTGATCAAGCAATTTTTCACGCAAGTTTTCCATCACAAAACTATTGAACTGTAACCTGCGAACATCATGAAGGTCTAGAAAGGGCAAAGCAGGTTGCAGAGAAGGCAGCATGATACTATTTTCCTGTTGAAAATTCTCGATAAAGTTGACAGTTTCGAAATCTTGAGCAGCAGTTAGTCGTTGTGTAATAAACTCTGGTCCCGGCAGTCCTGCTTGGTCAAAACCAGCCATAACGATAAAAAATATGTTTAACCTTCAACAATTCTCTGCAAAATATTGAATTTCGCTTGAATACCCACGAAATTTAAGAGTTTTCTAGAGACAACTTTTTCGCCATTTTGGCGGACAACGGCCGAAGCCGAATGCGCATGATCTATGCACACTTCACTAAGAATGCAGGGACTTTTATAGCAGCCATATTTGATTTTACCCATAATCCTTAGCAATCAACAAAAGAGCAAAATGGCGGACGTAGTGCATGTGGCAGAGAAAGTAAAGAAATACGAAGAATTCGTGAATGAAAGACTGAAGAAAGATCTAGAAACTGTACAGAAAGCGCAAGAACAGGCACACTCCAAAATTTCAGAGTATTTACAGCTAAAAAGTGTCATAGAAAACATTAAAAACCGCGATGGAGCGGCTGGAAAAGCGCTGAAGACACAAGTAGATCTCGGATGTAACTTCTATTGTCAAGCGCATATTACAGATCCATCGAAAATATTAGTCTTAGTAGGCTATGGATTTTATGTGGAATTCACTTTGGATGAGGCTCTAGAATTTATTGAGAAAAAATGCACCCAACTAACTACACATGTCTCAAAGTTGGGAAATGACTCCGCTAACATAAAAGCGCATATAAAACTAGTTATGGAAGGACTAAGAGAATTGCAGGATATTGGAACACACAAGGACCAACCCAGACCTCTATGGTAAGAAAGACTCGAACACGATGGTCTGAAACATCTAGGAGTTTTTACATGCGAGGTTCTTTGCACCTCTGGCTCATGGAGGAAAGATCAGTAAAGGGCTGGAGAAAATCCAGCTGAAAGACAGTAACGTGTATCTCACTTTGTAATGTGCAATACCAGCCATTAACTCAGTTCTATTTACACAGTTCATGTAGTTGTTATGTTTTGTTTACCCAGTGATGGAAATGGTCAGCCCACGAAAATTATCAAAAATGCAGGGATTTTGATCCCTTTTGTTAAGATGCATGGTAGTGCTATCACGACACACTGATATAGGTATGAAAATATAAATTTCTTCTTAGGTCATTAGTTTGGACAGTGTGGAGAGGGTACTGGCATAGTTTTAGAGTGTTTAGACACAAGTATT